GCCGGCTCCACCTTCCGCTGCACCTCACCGGCTTGGCAGACCCCTCTTCACCTCGTTGCCAACAATCTCCACGTCGATGATCCCTTCCGCGGCCTATTCCTCATCCTTGTCGTGCTCTTGCCGAAAACAGCGTCTGATGGGTTGAATGCTGCTGGAAAATCTTCTTATGTCCGGGTACCGGGCAACTGCTGAGCCGAAGTAGAGCCTTTTGAAGCAGAACAACATCAGTTGGGTAAAGAATTTTGCAAGCAATGCTTATTCCATTTAATTATGGTGTTCTTTTATTTATAGTTTTACCACAGATGAAGTGTTTTAATTCATACTTTTTATGCTATATTTTTGAATATTCTGTTGTTGATCTTTTACGGTTATGGTTATGAATTGTACTCTTTATTTTTGGGGATTACTTATGAGTTGCACTTTTTAAGGTTTATTGTAGATTGAAACACTCATAGAGCAGGTAATTTTAGGTCCATATGAGGAAGACATGCAAGTTTAATGCCATCTTGTTTTATGAGCTGCTGCCTTTGAGCTTTTAAAAATATGTTTCGACTTGTTTTATGTGACAACTGAGCTTTTAAAGTACTGTTTGAAGCTTTTAAAATGGATGATTTGGGAGTTGTCTGAAAGTATTGTCTTGGGCTAACATGAGCATTGTTTGAGATTGTCGATCGATGTAGGATGTTGTAGGAAGTGTCTAAGTTGCTGTATAAGTGTTGATTGAGATTGTCGATCGTTGTAGGATGTTGTAGGAAGCGTCGAAGCTGCTGCTTGGGGAGGTTCAAGCTCGTATAAGTGCTGTCAAAGCCTAGAGGCTGTTGTGGGTAGCTTACAACTGCTGCGAGTTACTGTTTGGAATGTTGTGAAAGTTTTTGGAGTGTTGTGAGAGATGTTTGGCGTGCTGTTAGAATTGTAGGTGTTGTATGGGCTTACATGATATTATTTGGAACACAAATTACATGTTGTTTGGGGCATTTGGTGGGCTAATTTTGAGGCAATCAACACATTATTTTGGCAGCCTTTTAGTGTTGATTTACATGCGGTTTAGAATTGGTTTTACGGACCCCTTTTTACCCGCTTTTTGGGTTTCAATTGATTGTTATTTAAACGCTTTTAAATTGATTCACTCGTTGTTTTCCCCATTGACTTTACTAGTTTTGGAAGCGGGTCTTGTTTTATTCTTTTTTTGCTTTATTTGTTTTTTAAATGATTAAGTCATAAAGATGAGGATTGATGATTTAATTAATTGAAAGATATAGAAAACCCTAAATCACCTTAAGCATAAGTTAAAGTGTAGGTTTCCTAGAACTTTAAGTGCACACCCTAGGTGAGAGTCTATCCACCTAGTCCTCAGTGTAGGCTTCCTATAGCTTAGGCACACACCCTAGGTGAGAGTCCATTCACCTAGCCCTCAATTTAGACTTCCTACACTTTAGGAGCACACTTTAGGTGAGAGTCCATCAACTTAGTCCTCAACATAGTCTTCTTAGATTTTAGGAGCACACCCTAGATGAAAATCCATTCACCTAACTCAGTGTAGGCCTCCTAGATTTTAGGAGCACACTCTAAGTGATAGTCCATCCATCTAATTCTCAGCATAGACTTCCTAAATTTTAGGAGCATACCCTAGGTGAGAGTCCATTCACCTAATTCTCAGCATAGACTTCATATATTTTAGGAGAACACCCTAGGTGAGCGTTCATTCACCTAATTTTCGAATAAATAACAAAACTTGACACTTGACCCTGATTCACAAACTGATCAAGACACTATACACCAGGATGCACCGAGATGTAGTTCATGCTTCCTTAATTAAATTAACAGTGAAATTCCCTCAATGACTTAACCTACAATGAAACCCAGTGCATCGGGATTTGAGCTTGAATATTACAGTCAAATCCTCCTGGCAATTGGAGAAATTTCTTAACGCCACCTATGAATCATCGGACTAGGATAAATCTAGGGTCTAGG